GTCATGCAGGCAGCCAGGTGACCCCGAGGCCGGTGCCACAGGAAGCAGGTAGCTGGATGGGGGAACCGAGCCTCCAGGACAGGCCGTGTGGAGCAAAATACGGAGTGGATTTCCATCCCTGGGCGGAATGGAGTGCAGCAAAAGCAGCTTTGCTGGGTGGGAGAAGTTTCCGATTTAGGAGGGAGAGCAGGATCCTCTACCGTCCCCCATCTGTCCTCTAGGCTGCAGGATGGGATTAGACAAGGGGTGCCTTCCGGCCAGGAGGGGTCCCAGGACCCCACTGCGTGTGTGTGTGTGTGTGTGTGTGTGTGTGTGTGTGTGTGCGCGCGTACCCTCTTGCTCCAGCTCTCCATTTCCAGTTTAGGGGAAGCTGGGAAATAGGTTGCCAGCCTTCTCATGCCAAGCAATAGATATCCCGAAAGAGGACTTGGGTAGACCTGTGACAGCTGCAAGGGAGCTTCCAGTTCCACCCTCTGTACTTTACCAAGGGAGCCAAAGACCAGAGATAGCGAAGGAGCTAGCAGTGCACACAGTGGCACCCTGACTGGGGTCCACAGTTTCTTTACCTCTGTGTCCTGGGGGGCAAGCCAGGAGCTTCCCCAGTCCCTTCTCTCCTCTCCAGCCCTGCTCCTGAGGGTGCCCTGCAGTTGTCAGGAAGGTCATGTTGACCAGTCCCCAGCCCCACAGGCACAGTGCGAGAGTCCTCTCGGCTCCCTTCCCAGCTCCCAGCCTTCCAGCCTCAGCCTCTACTCCTGCTGGCAGGGCGTTTGCCTGTTTCCTCCCCAACTGTCCTTCGAAGGCCCCAGGGAGCAGAAGCAGCTTTCGGGCCTCCAAATCCTCCGTGGGCCCACGGCAGCCGCGGCAAAGGAGGAGGAGGAAGAGGAGGAGGAGGACAGGGGTTCCAGGGGGTTGGCACGAGGCAGGCAGGCGGATGCAGGAGCAGCAGATGGGGTATGGGAAGGTTCTAGAAATTGCCCCTCCGGCCTTTCATCCTTGGCCAAACCATAAAGTCATTAAGTCTCAGGCCTAGGTAAGGTCTTCGTTGGAAACCCAGACACTTGTCCCCTTCCTTGTACATGTGTGAGGCCCCGTGCTGGGCGTTTGCGGAGGTCACTTCACCTGATCTTCAGACAGCCTTTGGTCAGGAGCCTGTCTAGCCAAAGGGCAGTCCCCCACACCTCTAACCTCATCTCTCTGCTGCACTCCGCTGGTCCTGTTCGCCTGGGGGTACAGGGCAGCTTGGGTCCTGCCTTCAGAGTCTTGTCATGACTCATTGGCCTGGTGTCATCTCCAGGCTACCACTTTTTTTTTTTTTTTTTTTTTTTTTTTTTGTCTTTTTCCTTTTTATAGGTACCGGGGACTGAACTCACGACTGCCTGCTTGCAACAGGCGCTTATGCCGCTGAGCTAAATCCCCAGCCCCGAGGCTACCACTTTTTACCTCAACCTGGCCTGATGGGATAGTGGACCTGGGTCATTCCATGTAGTCCTGGCTGGCCCTGAACTCCTATGTATCCCAGATTGGCTCTCAACACTTGAATTCAGCCTCCAGACTCCTCTGAGCCCTCTGGAGGGCAGGAATCTCCTCCACCAAGGCCATCACAGCCTCTCCCAGCCTAGCCAGGTCACTGGGGGGACAGGCCACATCCACCTCCCAAGGGACACTAGGCCTCCACTTCCAGCTCTGGGCCAATGGGCAAGGGGAGTGGGAGTGGTGGGTGGGGCCCTGGGCTGGTGTGGGCAGTACCCTCCCTCTTCAAGCAGGCACTACTAATATATGCAAAGGACATGCAAATCACCCAGCAGAGAGACACTTCGCTGACTGGCGGCAGAGACCTTGAAGACCATGGGCTCTGCCTCCTCACTGCATGGGTAAGGACCTGCAGGAACCGCTGGAGGTCATCCAGACACTGGGCCCTGAGGCAGGGGACAGGCAGACTGCCCCTGTGCTGTGGGGCTCACAGAGGGGCAGCCGAGGCCTAAGAGCAAGAGGATTCCTGGATCCCCCTCCTGCACCTCCCATAGAGCCGGGGGGGGGGGGGGGGGAAGGTGTTGGAGGAGGAATGGGATGCAGGGGCAGCAGCAACATCTGGGGTGCGGAAGGGCAGAGGTCGAGGCTCTGGGCAGGTAGAAAAGCACTGAGGTGCTAGGAAATAGTCCCCGAGGGCCTGGGCAGGGCAGGGAGGGCCAATGTCAGGGCAAGGAGCCCCACACACGCGTGCGTGTGCCCGCGCCCCAGAGTGCTCCACCCTGGCTTCTGACAGCCAGGACACCTGACAGACCATAATAGCAGCCCATCCGCCCTTCCCTTCCTAGCTGTGAGCTGGCTACTGCCGCTCCCCTCTGGCTTCCCTGCCTTCCAGACAGTCCTAGAAAGCAGGACAGCCAGCCAGGGAGGGGGCGGCCAGAGGGAGAGGGGGGACGGGAGTACGGAGTGGGGGCACAGGCCGGGGTGGGGAAGCGAATGAAGGACAGAGCTGGAGACACTGAGGGGCAGGGAGAGGGGGCCACCAGGGGAAGACACTGGCAGTAATGGGGGGCAGGTGGGTGGGTGGGGGAGACAGGCTAAGGGTGCTCTGGGGCTCCAGAGACCTGTACAAGACTGGGGCCCAGCATGGCATGCGGGAGCTCTGACAGGGAGGCCCAAGGCTGCCTTGGCAGGAGAGGGGGCCATGCCCTTGCCCTGCGGCCCACCTCCCCTGCCAGGGCCCCACCACCCCTTCCCTTCCTTCCCCTCCCTCCCTGGGGGCAGGCAGGCAGGCAGGCCGGCAAGGGCTGCTTCCCAGCCAAATCCAAAGCCTTCATCTTTGCTTTTAGAGCCCCAATGAAAGAAGGGGAAGCAAGTGCAGCCTTCAAACCCGCTGACGGCCAGATTTTTATTATCTTTGCTCCAGTGGGCCCTGGGAAGCCACCAAGGGATTCTTCAAAGATCGCCTGAGAGCCTCACTAAAGCCCGAACCTGCGCAGCCACCCACCCGCGGGCACGCAGCAGGCGCAACAGAGCTGGAGGATACTAGCTGCCCCCACCCCACCCCTGGGAGCAGACGAGGTGGCCAGCGGCCTCACCCTCAGCATCCCATGCCCCAGCAGAGCCACTTAGGGCAGGGAGCCAGGCTCCACCACCAGTTCTGGGTATGCTGGGCATGTAGGGCAGCCTCTGTCCCTCTCTGGGCCTGGAAGACAACAAACCAAGGAAGAAAACAGATCTCCCTGCCAGGCTCTGAGGAGGTAAGTGCTTGGGATTCCTCGAAAGAGAAGCTTTTATAGCCCGCCCTGGCTCCTGCCCTTGGAGTCTGTACCACCTAGCACCCACACTCCCCTTGGTGGTCCCCTCCAGCCCATCAGGCAGAAAAGGCCCCCACACTGCCCTTCTCTAGCCTCACTAGGGCTCCCCCAGTTCAAACCCTCAACTCTTCCTGCCTTCTCTCCCCAAAACCTAACCCCAGGTGGGTGAGGGCTGGAGGCTTGGCAACCAGGGACCCCACGAAGCCCCAGTCTGGTCCTCAAGGCTTCCAGGACTCAGGATTTGGGCAGGGATCACCAAGGCTGCGCTGGGTCGACAGAAGCTGTTCCCCCACCCCGCAGTGCTGACCACACTCTGGAGATCGATATCCCAAGCCGAAGACAGAATCAATGGCTCTAATTAAACCCTTTTTCCACGATGAGTCTCTGAGCACAGAGACAGACACAGACAGACACAGACACAGACACAGAAACCAAGAGAGGCTACAGGAAAGGCCCTGGCTCCTGGCTGGTCCCCCCCACATCTTGAAACCCTGAAGCCCTCAGACCCCTGCATTAGACAAGGCGAGTAGAGCAGTGGGGGCTCCCCTCTGCTCCGTGTTGAGACCATGGGTGCCCCTTCTGGAGAGGTCTCCAGAGCACTGATACCCGGAGCCAGAGGGGGATCCACCCGCATGTCTACCCCAGCCCTAGGGATCATCACAGAGAAAGGGTGGATGGAGCAGGATGGGGGGAATGGACAAAGACCTTCTTGTCTCCAAGGGAGGGTGGCAGGGAGCCAGGGCAAAGCCTTGACACTGGTTGCCAAGGGTGCCTGGGTGCCAGGCAGTTTGGGTGGGGAGCTGGGGGTATTCTTGGAGCCCCTCTTTGCCCAGAGCCCACAACCCCAGCTCCCACTTCCCCACCAAGCCACCAGCTAAGTCTCTGCCCCCAACAACTCCCAGCTCGCCTGGAGTGTCCTTCCGCTCCCACACTTGCCCAGAGTGGCCTCAACACCAGGTGGGACCAGCAAACCCCAACATGTACACCACAGCTGCCCCCCATACACACACACACACACAAGCATGCCAAAACCCGCCACCATGCCAGCTGCCACAGCAATGACAGCTCACATTTTCAGTGACAGTCTCCATCTAATGCATCATCTATTTTTTTTAATCAGCCAGGGGATAGAAAAAGGAATGAGAGAAACTGAGGCATAGAGTTAGCCAAGCAGCTGGCTCAAGGTCACCCAGACTAGGATCTCCAGTCAAGAGGAAGGTACACATCACCAGCCAAGTGCTCAGACCTCACCTAGAGGGATGGGGCCTCGAACCCGAGGGAAGTCTGTCTGGTCAGCTTCCCCTTCCCGCAAACAGACAGCACCCCTGCGTCGCCTTTTGAAAGGATTCATTCAGGGACCCTCAGCGCAGCTCAAGGACCCGGCTTCCCTCAAAGTTGGGTTGCAGGACCCTCCTGGTCCCGCAGTATTGGGGACAGAGGCTGGGACGCTCGGCCTGGAAGCCCCCCCTCGCTCAGCGCCCGGACCCCGGACCCCGCGGCTCACCTGCCTCCCCCCGGCCCCCGGCGGCGTCCCTCGGGCCGGCCTCCTCCCGGGGAGAGCGCGCCCTGCCCTCCGCCGTCCTCTCCCACCAGGCCAGGGCGAAGCGCCGCAGGCAGTGCCAGGGCTGCATGGGGAGGCGCGGGGCGGGGGGCACTCGCTGGGCAGCCGCACGCGCCCCGCCGGGGCTTGCCAGCCGAGCTGCGGAGGCACCGGCCGGCCCCCTCCGCCGCCACCAGCATCCTGCTGCCCCCACCGACAGGACTCGGAGCCCGCCGGGGAGCTTCTGACGTAGCAGGGGGGGTGCGTGGGAGGGGGGCCGAGACGCCTCTCCTCGCGGCCCCGCCCCCTGCACCCCATCCTCCTATGGGTCCCTCCCTGCGCGCTCACCCGGGACGCCCTCCCCAGGTAGGGGGCGCCCCCCTGCCCTCCGGGCCCTGCATGGGGAGGGATTAAAGGCGATCGCCCCTCCCCCCACCCCTCCCTCCTCGTGGCAAAGCGGGGAGCAAGCAGGTCCCCAGTTTCTGCTATCTGCTGCTGAGGCGCAGAGGTCTCCAGGGCTAGGGCTAGGAAGTGCAGAGGGTAGGGTGTGGAACACTGCTGGTCTCCTGGCAACGCCGCTAACCCCAGACGAACCTAGCCCCTTCCTTTCTGGGGAGCCGGCGCAGACCCCAAGCTGAGACTGGGGGGCCCTGGAAATGCCTCGTTCCTCCATCCCTTCCCCTACTCCTGCAGCCCCAGCCGATGCACCCCTCCCTTCCCCCACGCTGCTGCTAGCGGCCCCTTCCTCCCATCCCTCCCATCCCCCTCCCCAAATCGCTCTCTGTTCCAACCCCCGAGCCCCTCCAAAGCGGGCACCGCCCCCCCTCCGACTCCAGCCTCGCTAGCCGGGACCCCTTCTGGGTCCCAGCGCGCTGTCGCCCGGGTCCGCAGCCCCTGCTCCCCACACCTGCTCCCCGAGCATCCGTCGCCCCCGCCCCCGGCCGCGGGGAAAACACACAAAGAAAACAGAAATACCTTCCACTAAGCATGGAGGCACATTAGGGAGGAGAGGACAGGGACATGCCTTGGGACGGAGCGTTCCCCATCGGGCGGGCGGCGGGGGCGGGGCGGGGCCCCGGGCAGGCCGGCCTGGCGCTCGGCCTCTCGCCGCCTCGCGGGCTCCTCGCTCGGCCCCAGCCCCGGGGCGCGGTGCCAGGCGGGCGGGCCGGGGGCGCGGGCCCCGCCGGGTGCACCAGCTGGGAGGGCGCTGGCGGCCGGGCGTGTGGGTGCGCGAGCGCGCGCGGGCGTGTCCCCGAGTGTGCGAGAGCGACAGTGTGTATGCGCGCGCGTGTGTGTGTGTGTGTGTGTGTGTGTGTGTGTGTGTGCGCGCGCGTGTGCGCGAGCGCGCGCAGGCGGCCGGCACGGGTGTGTCACTGCAACGGGAGCGAGCGCGCCGCGGGCGCGCGCGTGTGGCCGCCTGGTACAAAGGGCCGCTGGGGGGAGGGGGGCGGCGGACGGCGGGGGAGGGAAGGGGGGTGCAGCGCCACCTCGCGCCCTCCGGCTGCCCTGAGGGGTCCTGCCGACCGTGGCCAAGCTAGAGTGCTGGGCGCGTTCACGCTGCCCTTCTCACTCCACCTGCGCCCCCCAATCGTCCTCGCGCGCTGGAAGACTCCAATACGCCTCCGAGGGTGTCACCCGAAGAGGGTAGGGGATCCTGGGTCTCCAAGCCCCCGCGCGCCTAGGGCTGGAGCGCACTCAGAGCCACCTTCAGCCAAGGTGACCTCGGCCCGCAGCGGCTGCCCTAAGAGATGAGATTCAGTCTCCTCTTTGCCTCCGCAGACGCCACAGTCCCGCGCCCCTCTGCGATCAGAGTCTGCTTAGCCAGAGGGGGTCCGGCTCCCCGGCGCCCCCTACTGGGTGATCTCCACCCAACCCCCCAACCCTGCTTCATTCGAGCCCCTCCTGCAGGCGCGTGCGTGAACTGCAGAGGCGTGAGGGAGAGGGGCGTCAGGGACCCTCTTTAGACAGGACCCATAGACTGGACACTCCAGACTGTCTCTCCTCGCGCCTCTCGCTGCGCCGCCGTGGCCACCTCCACCGCAGCTCTCAGAACGCCAGCCGGGCCCCATTCCTCCCCTGCACTGTGTGCGCGGCCTACCTGTGGGCCCTGCAGAGGTCTGCTCCGTCCCAAGCCCGGTTAACCCCTCCCTGGACTCCAGCTTGGGGGCTGCTTTCCTTCGTTCTTCCTGTCTCTTCGCTCCTAAACCTCTCTTGTGGAAGGGAAGCTGAGTGGAGCCCCCCGTCCTGCCTCCTCACATCTGGCATTCCCAATGCCACTTCAGATAGCCAGAAAGGGGACACCTTGCATCTCTTGGCTGTGGGGCACCAGGCAAAATGGCAAGCACGCCAAGGGCTAGGAGCAGAGACCCCACCCCAAGGGGCCCAAACGACAAACCGGTTTCCCTACTTCCTGATCTGCTACCCAGTGGCAGCCTCCACAGGGTGTGCCCACGCTCTCGCCTGCCTATCCCCAGGCCTGCGTGGAGCCAGCAGCAAGCCTGGCCAGGGGCAAGGTCCCAGTGCCCCTCAAGAGCAATGTCCAGTTGCAGCGCTCAGGTAGCCCAGCCAGGCGGGAGGAGGAAGGAGGACGGCCCAGGAGGACAGCCAAGAGCTGTCCCCTACACGGTCTGGACACATGACCACGGCAGTCGGTACCCTGACTTTTCCCCTCGTGGGCCAGCTGCCTGTCCCTCTGCCAACTGGCCGGTGCCCATCTTTTGGCCTCTGAGAGCACAGTGGGCACCCATCCAGCTCCCTGTCTGGCTGCCAGCCCAGGACAGGCATGGGAGCAGATAGGAGTAGTGACACCACCTCCAGAGCCTCTTGGAACCCAGAACTGGTGCACCACACCAGTACATGTCACCCCTCTATTCAGGCACCCTCCGCACCCCATTCCAGCACCCCATGGCCTTCACATCCTGTCAGCTCAGGTTCACCAAAAGACCAGATCTCCCCTCCCCACTCTCCTGCCTAAAGGGAGAGGAGTCACCCATACCCACTCACAGCTTCCCAGCCACGCTGTGGAAATGGGCATTTTCAGCCCCAAGCACCTGGGGGGAGATAAGGGATGGCTCATCCGAGCTTCGGGGGCAAGATTGGAACCCAGTGCACTGACTCCGAGGCTCTTCTGTCCCCATCTTTATCCATGGTGCCCTGGGCCACCAGAAGCAGGGACAGCCCTGGCTCACCATGTCTCACACCACACAGGCGCTGGCTTGGAGCGAGAGTGAGCTGGGACCAGGCTGCAGCAGAGTTAAGACAGGCGCTTCTGTCACAGCTAAGGACCTGAGAATCCCTTTGATGACAGCTGAAAACACTTTTGTCCCTGACACTAGAGACCAAGAAGCCCCTGGGCAGGCCAGGCAGGGAGGGTCCCCAATCCTCCCACAGGGGTGGGGGACAGTTGTGAAGGTGTGCACAGAGTGAAAGAGACGCTTATGCCTCGGAGGCCTTAGGTCTGACCCAGGGGCTTTCTGTGTCTGTGTGGCCTGCTGGCTGGCGATGAAGGCTCAGCGCTGTGCACACTGGGACCTCTTCAGGCCCTCCACCTCTCTCGAAGCAAAGGACTCACCTCTGAGCAGGAGCCGTGACCCCAGGCCCACAAGGTGACGGAGTGGATGGCCTGGCACTATCTGCTCTTGGGGATCCCGTCTCATCCTCTGTGGCCTTGCCCTGTTCCACCAGCCAGGGTAGGCGTTCCGGGGAGGAGGGTGGTAATGCCGCCTCCAGATCAGGTACTGCCTCTCCAGCAGGGGGAAGAGGGCTGCTCCTGGAAGCCGGCATGGTGCCCAGGCACAGCCAGTGTGCCAGCTGCCTTCGCCTGCCATGCCTCGGGTGTGCCCATCCCCTCATCAGTCTACGGGAGGTAACTCCCGCAGGCCTCCTCCCCACCACTCTGCCAGGGCTCCTCACTTCACCACCACCATGCCCTGCTCAGATCCTGGAAGCCCCCGGGATGGGGGTACAGGGAGCAGCCCTGAGGCCAGAGCCTCTGCCCTCCTTCCCAAGACAAAGCAGGAACAAGGACACCTGGCAGGAAGAGGAGATGGTACAGGAGGTGGGCTCCAAGGTACAAAGGAGGCCTGTGGGGAGGCCCTGGGACAGGGTGTGGGGAAGTCATGGCTGGGACCCCCATCTACCCACTCTGTCACTGTGGTGCACCTCAAGCTCTCCTCAAGAAAGTCTCACTGGGTGTAGTGGTACATGCCTGTAATCCCAGTACTCGGGAGGCTGAGGCAGGAGGATCACTGTGAGTTTAAAGCCAGCCTGGGCTACACAGTGAGTTTGAGGCCAGCTTGGACTTCATGGTGAGAACCTGTCTCAAAAAGCAAACAGAGCTGGGCATGGTGGCACACACCTGTAATCCCAGCACTCAGGAGGCTGAGGAAGGAGGATCTCTGTGAATTTGAGACCAGCCTGGGCTACAAAGTGAGCTCAAGGCCAGCCTCATCTGCATAGAGAGAAAAAGACAAAACAAAACCCAAAAAAACCAAAACAACCACCACCACCACCACAACAAAAATCCTTCTTTGGCTGGGCTTGGTGTTGTACTGCTATAATATCATTCAGGAGGCTGAGGTAGGAAGACTGCTGTAAATTCAAGTCCACCCTGAACTACAAAGCGAGACCATGTCTCAAACAAATAAATAAAAAAGTCCTTGCAGGCTGACTGGGGCATTTTATGTGCCACAAAAAGACATCTGTGCTCCACCAAGGGTGGCTAAAGCCCCTGAGAGTCCTGGGGCCTATCTTGTTCTGGGGACTGTGGTTGGGCACTGGGGACTTTCTGGCCACAGCCTGGGTTCCTCACCCCCTCACATTCCTCTATCTCTTCACAGGCCCCCAGGCCACAGGAGAGGACTAAGTGACAGTAAATTTCAAAAGACCCTAATTCCAGGGGGTCCCTCCCAGGCTCCTACAGTGGTGAATGCACTGAGGCCTCATTAGCACATCAAATCGCTCCCTAAAGAATGAGGGGGGAAACAGAAGGGGTCTTTGGGGCCCAGGCCCTTGCTCAGGGTTTCGTCCTGCGGGAAGGAGCCCAGAGGGCCTGGCTGTTTCCCCATGTCCCTGCCTGGCCTCCTGGGGAGAAGGCCAGGTGGGCAGGACCCCTGTCTCTTCCATCACACTGGCAGACTTTGTGTCTCCTCCCCTGAGCTGGGGGTCCCTGCTTGCTGAAGCACAGATGCTGTCAAACTAAATGGCCAAGCAGTGTCCCTCAGGACTTGGGGAAGAGGGAGCTGTCCCAACAGGTTTCTGACTCAGTAAGTTTGAGAAGGAGCCTGAGAATCTGAATTTCTAGCAAGTTCCCAATGCTGCTGCTGGCCAGGGCCACACATGGGAATCCACGATGAGGAGTTATCCTTGCTACCTCTGAGGGGGAGCAGGGGACCTCCCTGCAAAGGTGGCTCCACCTGCGGGAAGGTGGGGCAAGGCCTGAACCTGGGAACCTTTGGTGTCACAGGAAAGGCAACTACTTTCCTCTCCCACGGCTCCCGAGAGCACCTAGACCAGTACACCTGCCTTGACTTTGACCTTCAGGTTGGCCTACAGTGGGTCCCCTCATCCTCTGCCCAAGCCAGGGGGTCCCCACTTGGGGAAGAGAAGGCTGATAGAGGAAAGCCGAGGGTCACCCTAGGGTGACCTACTGGAACTTGGGGGAAAAGGCCTGCAGCCCCCAACATGCATACAGCAGTCACTCCCTTCCCTCCCACACTGTCCCCAGAACTGCCTTCAGCTGAGCCAGGTGGTACACACTTGTAGCCGAAGCTACTCAAGAAGCTGAAGCAGGAAGATCACTGGAGCCCAGCAGTTCAAGGTCAGCCTAAACCACATACCAAAACCTTGACAAAAAAAGATTGATTTGAAAAATTTAAGAAGACAGGATACAAAAAATCAAAATTTAAAAATTAAGGCGAGGTGTGGTGGCACACACTTATAATCCCAACACTCAGAAGGCTGACGCAAGAGGATGACCATGAGTTCAAGGCCAGCCTAGACTACACAAGGAGACACTGTCTCAAAAACAAAAGAAAAGGGCTAGGGATTTAGCACAGTGGCATAAGCACCTGCCTTGTAAGCACATGGTCATGAGTTTGATCCCCGGTACCAAAAAAAAAAAAAAAAGAAAAAGAAAAAGGAAAGAAAAAAAAATCAATAGCTTTCCAGGGATGGTGGCACACATCTATAATCCCAGAACTCTAGGAGGCTGAGGCAGGAGGATGGAAAGTCCAGCCATTTAGTGATTTAGCAAGATTGCCTCCAAATAAAAAGCTCAGGGGATGTAAGTCAGAGTGAGAGCACTGGGTTCAACCACCACTCCCCGCCTTAAAAAAAGTCAAAATTTTCTATATGCCAAAAATGAACAAGCTGAGAAACAAATTGGAAGACAGGCAGGGGTACACGCCTGTAATCTCAGCACTTGGGAGGCTGAGCCAGGAGGGTCACCATAAATTCAAGGCCAGCCTGGAGTACATAGTGAACTCAAAGGCAGCCTGAATCAGAGTGTGACCCTATATCAAAAAATCTATTTTCAAAAAATCAAGAAAAGAGGCACACACAGGAAAGAATAAAGTCTGTGTAATCTAAAGCAGCTACACACCTGTGTTTACCATTCACAATAGCAGAAATAGGAACCACCCAAGTGCCCAGCAACAAACACTGGGATAAAGGAAGTGTGGCACTGTGTGAACACTGGAGTACTACTCAGCCTGAAAGAAGAATGAAATCATGACATGTGAAGGGAAATGGAGGAGTTACAGACAATCAGATTAAATGAAATAAACCAGAGTAAGAAAAACAGTCTTTCTGGGCGTGGTGGCTCATGCCTACAATCCCAGCTTTTAGGAGGTTGAGGCAGGAGGATCACTGAAAATTCAAGGCCAGCCTTGGTTACAAAGTGAGTTCAAGGCCAGCCTGAACTGAATAGTGAAACACTATCTCAAAAAGAAAAAAATAAATAAAATTTTAAAAACAATATCCAAATTTGTAAAAAAAAAAAAAAAGTATAAAAAAAACAGTATCAAGTATTTCATGTTTTCCCTAATATGCGCAATGTAAAAAGAAAGGGAGACCATTATTAGACAGGAGAAGGAGAGTTGGGTAGGAGGGAAGGTGTAAGGGGGAGCAATGAGGGTATGATCAAAATATTACCTATTTGTGGAAACAACGAAATTCAATATTTTATAAAATTAATAGAAATAGACTTTATTTTTATTTTTTTACTTTTATTTTTGGTACCAGGAATCGAACTCAGGACTTTATGCTTGCCAGGCAGGTGCTGCACCACCGAACTATATCCCCAACCCTAAAATTAATGGACTTTAACTTTTAAAAAATGTTTTCTTTTTTTTTTTTTTTGAGATAGAGTCTTGCTATATAGCCCAGGGTGACCTCGAACTCACGATAATCCTCCTGCCTCAGCCTCCCTCGTGCTAGGATCACCAGTGTGCACCACCGCTCCTGGCAAAATAAGTTTTCAAAAAGAGGTGCATGTTATAGGCTTCTGCGGCCAAGGGGGACCACAAGTCCGGCTCCTGCGGGTCACACCCAGTGTGATCTCGCTGTTTGCCCACATTTTGGCACGCAAGGAAAAGACATCCCTCCCGCTCCCACCCGGCCTGGAGACAGCCTGGCAAGCTGGCCATGGCAGGGGCGCAGCAAGCATTGCCTGGTCCACGGACCGAGCCGGCAGCTGTTCCTGGCTTCCGGGATACGCCTCTGACATTGCGCACGGGAACATGAAGTGGTTTATCAGCTGTGGAAAACAGCTCACCCCGTCCGTGACCAAGAACCCACCACCTGCTCCGCAGCCTAAAGTCCTCCAGTGGGTCCCAGGTAAACAGGCCCCTGCCAGCTGTGCGGTGAACGAAATGCTGCGCATGCGCGGGAGGGGAGGGAGGGCCGCGGAGCCCCAAGCACATCACATTAGGATAAGGATAGAGAAGCAGAAAAGTGGGTTGCCAGACCGCACATACTGGCCAGCCGTGGTGGCGCACGCCTGTGGTCCCAACACTCGGGAGGCTGAGGCAGGAGGATCATAACTGCGAGTTCGAGGCCAGTCTAGACAATTTAGGGAGACCCTGTCTCAGGATAAAAAGGTCTGGGGTGTAGCTTGCCAGATTTTTCCTAGAAAGCGCCTCCCTGCATTCTTTCTGCTCACCCAAACTCAAGCCTCTTGCTTTTCGCACACTAACAAAGGCTCCTCCAATCAGCTGCTTGCTTTTCGCACACCAGCAAAGGCTCTTCCAATCAGCTGTCAAAACGTCATTCTACCCGCCCTTTTAGCTCCGCCCCCGTCAAATTCCAAGTCAAGTCCCAGATCTTTCCCAAAGCTTCTGGAAGGTTCCTGTCTCTCTTCAGCAGCGTTCCTGTGTCCTCAGGGCTTTTTCTCTTCTGCTTTCTTTTCTCTCGCAGCTCAGAAGACCGAACACAGCTCAGCAGTGGCGCTGAAAGGAGTTAGCCAGAGTCTGTGGAATTGGTCTCTGAGTATTTCTGGAGTTTGCTTTGGAACCTCCAGGAGGGACCTGGCGCTGTCCTCTGACCCGCAGCTCCCTGGCCTTCTCCTTCCCAGCTCCTGCTGTGCTGTCCCTCCAGCCACGGCTGGCCTGGAGGCACCCTTTGCCCCACCCTGGGGTCCCTGCTGCTGGATCTGCCTCTAAGCTCAGCCTGGTGGCGCGTGTGTGAAAGCCCAGTACTCTAGGAGGCTGAGGCAGGAGGATCACCTTGACTTTGAGGCCAGTCTGGGCTACAAAGTGAGCTTAAGGCCAGCCGGGACTCCATAGCAGACCTTGTCTCAAAGAAAAAATAACCCAGTGGGGAGCTCAGGATGTAGCTGAGTGCAAAGGTCCTGGGTTAAGTTCCCAGTACCACCACACAGAAACAAAAGCCTCTATTTTACCCAACCGAGGATTATTTTAATCCCTTAGGTGGACCTCCTGCTCTGGGACTCTCAGTCTCCTCACTCTCCCTATGTGCTGGGAAATATTCCAAGATAATCAGGACCCCACTCTGCTCTCCCTTCCCTCAAAGACCCCCAATGACAGAGGATTATAGGATACCGAACTTTTGAAGACCTGGACAAACGTTTTACCTCCTCTCCCTTGACAAACAGCGATCATTCCAGCAACGCCTGGGCCCTCCTATCCTCTATCGCCCATCCATGGCCTCCAGGGCAGAGCTACCTAGAGTAAGGTCAGAGGACCAGTGCAGACTGGCTAGGGAATTATAAGAATTCAGAAATCAAATCGTGGTGGGGTGTGCCTGTCATCCCAGCCTCAGGAGGCTGAGGCAGGAGGATCAGTTCGAGTATGAGGCCAGCCTGGGCTACAAATGAAGCCGTGTCTCCAAATGCAAATAATTAAACAAAAAATTGTTTAAAAGAAAGAGAAAAAGGACAGAAAGGTCCTTCATCATGGAGTTTGAGCTGCGCTCCTGAGATAAGATGCATGGTTTTTGGTTTCACTCTTGGCTCCCAGCTCCTTCTTTAAGGCAGGTCATGAAACTAGGATTTCCCTCCTGCGGCATGGATAGAAACCCAGGACCTGTGATTTGTGAGATCTGTGAGGGGCTCAAGCAAGTAAACCAAAGCCAAGGAGGGCGCACGGGGACCCTGCTTTCTTGCCAGCCAGACGCACTGGGAGAAGGACCCACTGGTGCCCACAGTGGGGGGGGCACCTCGGAACCAAGCCCTAGACCAGGGCACCTGGCACTGTCTGTGGTGTCAGAGCTGCACTGGGCCAAGGCACGTCTGAGTGTCGAAGTGGAACTGTGCTGTGCTCCTATTCCACTTCCTCTGAGAAGCGCTCCCCACGCCGACCCTGCAGGACGGGCAGAGTTCTGTGCCTCTTGGTGTCCCCCTGGCCCATCTGCTCCCTGAGCTCCATTGTCCTCATCTGACCCCTCGAAGGGCCCCTGCATCCTGAGCTCCAGCCTCTGGGATCTTCTGGCAGTGACTCATTCCCCAGATCACAGCCTGCCCTGCCTGATGTCACTCCCTTTCTGGGGCCCTGACCTTCTCAGCTAGGACATGGCTTGGCCAAAATTCAGTGGCATAAATGATATTAAAGACTACCCAGGCATGACAGCACCCGCCTGTCATCCCAGCACTCTGGGAGGCTGAGGCAGGAGGATCACAAGTTCAAGCCTTGCCTATGTCCAATCCCCAGTACTGCAAAGAAAAAAAAATAAGCTAAAGACTAAAACTGTGTTTTACTTATTTTGTAGTAGGAAATCCTATGTGTATATGATCCATGAGTGAGGAAGGGAAAACAGCACAAAGCCACCTTTCCCACCACTGCCTGTCCCCAGTCCCCGAGTCCAACCCTGGAGCTGCCACCACTGCACACGGGTCACACATTCAGGGTATCCCCATAAACTTTTTTTTTTGTTGTCTTTTTCATTTTTATGGGTACCGGGGATAGAACTCACGACTGCCTGTTTGCAAGGCAGGCGCTTACGCCGCTGAGCTAAAACCTCAGCCCCGGCCCCCCCATGAACTTTCTTACCCAAAGGGCAATGCACCATCCACACTGAGGCATCAGCGGGGTTCCCAACATCGGTATAATGAGGGGCAGGAGGGCCTCCCTGCGGTGAGCAGACCCTGAAGTGGACCAGCTGGCCAAGGGCATATGCTTTACAAGTGCTTTTTAGTGTTTATTACATGTTTGTTTTACAGTGCAGGAGGTCAGAGGCAGGGTTCCGCGCGTGCTAGGTAAACGCCCGACCACCAAGCCACCCCCAGCTCAAATTTTATTTATTCATGCATTCATTCATTTGCCGCTGTTTTGAGACGGGGTCTCACTGCCTACCCCACTGGCCTCCAATTTGCAATAATCTTCTTGCCTCAGCCTCCTCGAGTGATGGGATTATATGGATGTACCTCTGTGCCTAGCTTTCTCCCAACTCCACTTTTTTTTTTTTTTTTTTTTTTTTTTTGGTCTTTTTTGAGACAGGGCCTCACTATATGGTTCAGGCTGGACTTAAGCTCACTATGTAGCTCAGGCTGGTCTCAAACTCACAACAATCCTCCTGCCTCAGCCTCCCAAGTATTGAGATTACAGGCATTTGCCACCTTGGCTGGCTCAGCTCAACATTTTAAATGTGAATTGTTATTTATGTTTTGGTCCTGATTCATGGACCTATAGCAACCAATCTTCCCCAGTTTGGCCACTTCATCTACACTAGTGCTAGGTGGGGAAACTGAGTCCAAAAACTCACACGTGTGCAGTGCACAATGACCACACTCATTGTAGGGGGCTGGAACAGGAACACATCTCAGTTCCGTTTTAATCCCTTCCCCATCCCTGTCGATGTCCGCTCCCGGCCGGCAGGAAGGACACACGACAAAGTCTGGTAGTGGACAACCTTTTCTTTTTATTTTCCTTCTCCGTACAGCCTGCCCTGGGATCGCTCCCAGCCGAAGCCTCCTCTGGTCCGCTCCCCGCGGCTCCTTTTGTGCTTCAGTCTGCCCCAAAGCCTCTACCGGTCCGCTCTCCGCGGCTCCTTCTGGGCTTCTACTTCCGGGCTTCTACCTGGCTTCTTCTTCCGCCCAGGGGTGGCACCGGTATATATACGGGTACAGTGTCCAATCATGTTAAAGTAAGCAAGGCAAGCTGATTGGCTAACATCATCAGTTGCCAGGCAGACTATATTGTTGAGCGGGTTGTTTACGCGGTAAGCAGGAAACTAACATATTCGATGGGAGGGGTAATCTACCTCAGGCTTTGCTCTTTACCACAGGCCGCACGTCCGCCGCGCAAGGCGAGCTATCACAGACGCGGCTCCCAACATCTCCCCCTATTTTATTTTTTATGAATGTGCGCATCGTAGCCCTTCCTGGACTGGGTGCAGAGGCTTATGCCCTATGTGTAGGTCCACCGTAGGTCCTTGGCTTAGACCCTGGTTGGCCATGCCATGGTCTGCCAAGGCCCTGAGGCCCTCGTCCTTTTTCTAGGGCCAGGCACAAACTGGACGGAACCTGGATGCACACAAGCTTGCACTCATTTCCTCTCCGTAAAGAAATCCCCTCGGAGAGAAATTTAGACCTGGGCAGCATCTAACAGTCCAGCGGCTTACGTGCAGGATGGGGTAGGGCCTGGCTTAGGTTGAGTCGTGCTGGGGAGGCACGCTCTTACCCGTCATTGACTCACCTACCCTGCTGTGTATTGTCACCTTATGGAGGAGAATGAGGGATGCCCGCCATATCTAGACTCGGTCGTGGGCCAATTGAGCAAGCCATGCATATGCCTGAGGATCTTCTTGTCCATTTCGGGCTACCGCTATTTCTATTCATCTTATTGGTTGGTCTGTGATGGATCTCCAGTAGGGCAGGTCTGATCTTCAGTCAAGGGCTTTGTTGCCCGTGTCAGTCTCTCCGGTATCCACAGTGGTTCTCGTCCCGGTTCCTGTGGGAAAACACAAACCGCGCCTCGGTTCCAGCTGACCACTGGATCCGGGCCCATCCATTGTCCTGTCAGGACATCTTTCCACTTCACCCACCCTTTATGGTTGGGGGAAGGGTTGCAGTGCTCCACGGCTGGGGAGCAATTATCATTATTTAAATTTAAAAAATTGTGTGTGAATAGTGCCATGGATAATCGCGCCTTTGGGGCCAGGCCTTGGCCTACTCCCCCTTTTTGTTTTTGTAAAATTTCTTTGAGGCTTCTATGAGCCCTCTCAATGATTCCTTGACCTTGGGGATTGTATGGGATACCATGTTTTAATTGAACCTCCATCATTTTGCAGAACTCATTGAAGGCTTTGCCTATATAGGCTGGTCCATTATCAGTTTTTAATATTTTTGGTTTGCCCCATGCGGCCCAAGCTGCCAGGCAATGATTGATCACATTAGACACTTTTTCACCTGTTTCTGCTGTTGCAAATATGACGTGAGAACAGGTGTCTGTGGAAACATGAACATATTTAAGAGTCCCAAACTCCTGTATATGTGTGATGTCCATCTGCCAAACATCACCAGGGATCAAACCTCGAGGGTTTACTCCCATCGGTATGGCAGGTTTGTATGTGGCACAGGAGTCACATAGTCGCACGATATCTCGTGCATCTGCTCTGGAAACATGGAAATGGTTTGCTAGTGTCCTGGCATTAACATGAAATTTATCATGGAAGGCACGGGCTCGCTCGATTGGTGTTAGTAAGGTAAAAATCCATAACGGGCGAGTGGCAGTGTCAGCAGCCGCATTCCCCTGTGCCATGGGCCCCGGCAGGGATGTATGTGCTCTTATGTGGGTGGTGAAGACCTTATGGTGTCTGTTCTGAAGCAATGTCTGGATAGACAGGAACAGTCCAGCCACTGTGGAAGTGGATCTAATTAAACTGGCAGTCTCAAGCACTTGCATAGCATTGACCACATACCTAGAATCGGAGACAATGTTAATGGCTTCTGAGAACCGTTCAAGAATCATTTTAACGATCTGCAGTTCTACCACCTGAGGCTGATCTGGTTTAAATTGTATGGTAACCGGGGACTTGCCTAGGATCACATAGGCGCCTATCCCCGTCTTGGAGCCATCTGTGTATATTGTAGTTGCTGGGACTAATGGCTCAGAGGCAGTAACCTTTGGAAAAATTATAGGGTGCTGAGTGACAAATGACAAGATAGGGTCTTTAGGGTATTGATTGTTTATATCCCCACGGAAAACACATCTCAGAATGGCCCAGGTATCTATGCAGGCAGCCAGGGTCTTGATCTGGCTGGCGGTATAGGGTACTCGGATGGCTTGTGGTCCTGAGCCAAAATGTTGGACAGCTCTATCATGCGCTTCAAGGGCCAATGAAGCGACTGCCTCCGGGTAATGCTCTATGACTTTTGCAGGTGAGACCTTAGGGTGTATCCACAGTAGTGGTCCTTTCTGCCAAATCACCGCTGTAGGCTGTAGACTAGTCTGTAGCAAACAGACATCAAAGGGTCGCCCTGGTTCAATTCTGTGTAAGGTAGCCCCACCTAAGGCTTTTTCCACTCTCTGTAAGGCAGCTCTTGCCTCAGGAGTGAGCCTTCTGTGGGAGGCTATATCTGGGTCTCCCTTCAGAAGGTCGAACAGGGGTTTGAGATCTGAATTTGGTATATGTAAATATGGCCTAATCCAATTAATGTCTCCCAATAGCTTTTGCATGTCATTTAGGGTCCTAACGCCATCCGTCCTAATGGTGACCTTCTGTATAAGTCTGGAGGCGACACTGAGGTCCACACCTGCTGACCCAGGGGTGGCCCTTGTTGAAGGCTGCCACCCTGAGCTGTCCTGTCTCTGGGGCGGGGGCCCGCCTGTGAAGGGGGCCCCCTCTGGCCGTTTTTTGGCTCTCTAGCATCTTGTCCACAAATACGGTTGCCCTGAGCATCAAAGACCGACCTACACTCCTCAGCTTTGTGTGATCCCTTTTTGCATCGCCCACAAACATATGGTTCTTCATTCCTAGGGCGAGGTCTAGCATCTGCATTGTTTGGGCAATGACGTTTAATGTGTTCTGGCTCCCCGCAGGCAAAACACCCTTTAGCCTTACATTCCCCTTCTAACCCGCGAGGTCCCCTCTGCTGTACAGCCGCGGCCAGGAGAGCAGCCACTCCCGAGTTGGAGAGCGGCCCCCCTATCTCTCTGCATATCCTAATCCAGGCGTTGAGGTCCTTGTTCTTATGAGGAGCTATCGCTGCCTTGCACTCCTTTGTACATTGCTCAAAAATCAGCTGTCTTACCAGCGGTTGAGCCACTCCCGGATCAGGAAATATCTTATCGGCAGCATCTTGCATTCGGGCCACAAAGTCAACAAATGGCTCTGTGGTACCCTGAATTATTTTTGAAAGACACAAGGAGGCTGTTCCGGCACCACTTACCTGTTTCCAGGCGCGGAGCCCTATGGCATTGATTTGTTCATAGACAGCGCCGGGGAACTGGGTCTGGTCATCAGCGTGCCGACCTTCTCCCATAAGCATTTCCTTGTTCCACCCCCGGTTTCCCCGATTGGCGTTTCTCTCAGCCTGCTCTGCAGAGAACTCTGCGTACCAGGCTCGCCAATCCAGGTAACTGCCCGAGGGCAGACACGCCTTTGCCAGCTGAATCCAGTCCGCGGGGATGAGGGGCCCAGAAGACAGATTCTCCAGCATGGCAATGGTGTAAGGCGCAGTCGGCCCAAAGGTTGTAACTGCATTTTTAAGTTCTCTAATCTGCTTTATCTCAAAAGGCTCCCATACATTGTGTCCCTGGCCCATAGCTACTTGTACAGGAAATATCCCGTAGGGGCCACTATCTATCCCAGGTGGATGTACCTCATGAGACAAGCGTCCCCCCTGCCAAAGCCGCCTGTAAAAATACCGACCCGCCGGCGGCGGAGCATAAGACAGCGGCCGTGATTGGGCGGAAAATGGGGGCCCGTGCATCACTTCCTGTTCTGGCGAAAGGGGAGAGAGCTCCCAGGCGGCCGCCTCGTGGCGAGGGATCGCCTCCGGAAACGGCCCCCAAGGTAAAGAACCCTGCGACTCCTTATCGAGCGACTTAGGCTCCTGACAGCTGGTCTCTTTGGCCTCCTTGCCATTCAACTTTCCCTCGTCCTCGGAGTCAGACGACTCCGAGGCTAGAGCCCCGTCCTCCTCCTTAGCATCTTTGTTCCCCTTGACGGACCCCTCTCGGGAGCTCCCTGACTGGGCCTGCTCAGATACCCTGCGTACTTTTGTAAGCTCTTGAGAGCTTTCTCCACAACCACCCTCGCTCTTAGTGTTGCTACCTAACATGTTTCCCATCTTTTAATATGTTACTCACCGCGTGAGGCCCAAGGAATCCGCCACTTACGCGTGAGCCTGAGGGGAGTCTAAAAGCCCTGTAGGTGCGCGCCACCCAGAGCCCAGGCTTATCCCCAACTCACCTGTCTCGCAGCTCTGTACTGGAGCGTTGTCCACTTCCACGTCT